GATTTTTAAGTAAAGGAGATTGCCCTCCATATATGGATAAGCATCGTCCCATCAATTAAAGTCCTGAATACAAAACAAAGAAACTGCCTCCCCAAGCAAGAGGGAATTCTCCAGCAGACTGTCTTCAGACTCATCTGTACTATCAGCACCCCTGGCTCTCCATCCTACCAGCCCCCACTGCAATATTTGGACCTCTCATCCTCCATAATCAGGTGAGCTAACTCATTGTAAATCAATCCCTCTCCCTGTCCCTCCTCTCTCCCTCTCACTTACTGGTTCTGTTTCTCTGGAGAACACTGACTAATACAAATCCAAATAGAAAAGTGAGAAGCCACTGAACATGTAAATCTGGAGATCAGGGGTGAGGCCTACCTACCTACATTTGTAGCACATCAACATTCATATAGTATGGGTTGGCCCAGAAGTTAGGGGGTTTTTCTGTACAATGGCTCTAGTAGTGCTTAGTTGTCTTTAACATCATTCAAAACAATTTTGAATATGTAAAATAGGGCTCTATATTTGTTTTATTTCAAGTAATAATGGTCCATGCATGTTATTTGTTGAATAAGCCTTATTTTTCCCATCAATTTGAAATATCAATTTAATCATATAGTACATGCTAGACAGATTATATGTTTCTAGAATGCTCATTTTATTTAATTGATCTACTTCATTATTTCTGTGCTGGTGTCATGTTTTAATTTATAATGATTTTAAATTTTTTTATTATTTTATAATTAACTTTGACATTTAAAAAATAAATAAAATCAATCTGCATTTAAGAAAGGAAAAGAGAGATATGGAACTTCTCCCTTTTGTGACAACATGGATGGAACTGGAGAATATTAAACTAAGTGAAATAAGCCAGGTGATGGAAGACAAATACCTTATGATCTCACCTATAAGTGAACTCTATTCAACAAAATAAACTAACGAACAAAATAAACTACAGGCATGGAAACATGGAGCAGACTGAAAGTGACCAGAGGGGATGGGGAAGGAGGACAATGGTGGAAAGAAGGGAAGGGACTAGACAAAGAACAATGATTGATGACCCATGGACATGGACAACAGTGTGGGAACTGACTGTGGGGGGAGGCAGGGGGGCAGTGGGATGGGTGGAGGGCAGTAAAGGGGTAAAAATTGAGAACTGTAATAGAATAAACATGATGTATAAATGAAAAAAAGAAAGAAGAATTGGAAATATGAGAAAGAACTCGAAAAAGACTGAAAGGAGCAGCCAGTGAGGTAGGATGAAAATGAAGAATAAGCATATTCCCAGAAAATAATGAAGAAAACATTTTTAAAAAGGACTTACTAATCAGCTGTGTTAAAGCATACTAACAGAATGTGAAAAATGAGACATTGCCAGTACATAGTTTGCTAAGTTTAATTAGCAAGTATGTCAAGTATGCAAAGATGGTTCTGTAATAATCAATGCTGCGAGTCAGCAGAAACTATCATTAAACCCTCTCAGTGAACTCTAATTCACACCTTCCTACAAAAGAAACCCAGTGTTCCAGTGCCTCCTAGCTCTTACACTATTCCCACAATACATCTTTATATGATTTCTAGACCTTAACTGTTGCTCTGCCAATCTACTACCTAGATGATGGGTTGGGAATTCTAACTTGTACTTTTAAAGATATACCTTTGAATCACTCACAGTTACATAGAATTTTATTGCAACATATACACATACATTTGTTCAACGAAATTGCCTATCTTACGCCTCGTGTTGCGATGTGGTAAGAGAAAGTCTTGACTTTCAAGGAGTACATACATGGAAGAGACCAAAACAATTACTGAACACAAGAAGTGTACTAGATCCTGTGGGAAAAACATACGAGTGGCACTGACCTAGTGGGAGGAATGGGTGACCACTGCAAAACATTATATAAGGGGATAACATGGTAACACTGTCAGGTGACTAGAGAGAAGGAAGAAAGGGGGCAGGAAGAATGCTGGTGTGGCAGGAAGAAGGATAAAAATGGGGAATGTCTGTAACGAGGCAATGGAAGGAGAGAGGAGTCAACCAGAGAAAGTAGAATCAATGGACACGGTGACTGATGGGCATCGGGGATCAGGGAGAAAGAGAAGTTCAGTCTAGTTTACCAGGTTTTAGGGCCTGAGAAGGGAGGAGATGATGATTTTGGTTTATGACTTGGTTGAATTTGGGGTATAAGATATCTGGGGATGTTCAGTCGTCAATTGGGTACAAAACCTGGGACTCTAGAGCGGAGGTGGATTAGATATAAACATTTGGAATGAATCAGACTCTAGTTAGGTGGATTCTGATTAGACAGATGAGTGTGTAGACTAAGACATGAGGGCAGAGGACAGAAATCTGGAAAATTCTATACTGACACTATGGCTAGAGAATCAGAAAGATACCATGAACAAGTAGGCACAGAGAGACAGGAAGCAAAAGCAAGAAAAAAGCAGAATCAGTGCTATCCAGAGAAGGAAGTTTCTGAAAGAGAAAGAAGTCAGTGGTACTCCATGTCACAGAGAAGCCAAGATGAGAAATTTATTCCTTGGCTTACGTGAAGAGAATAATCTCATTATAAATCGCCTAACAAATTAGTAATTTAAGGTTCCTGGCATGTATTTATTGCTATAACCAGATAACCATACACCTTTTATTTATGTTGTGGGGGTTTTTTGTTTAGTAAAAATTGTTCCTGTTCTAGAAAAAGCCCAAGTGCCCATCAGTAGGTGACTAGGTAAAAAAGCTGTGGTACATTTACACAATGGAATTCTACAAGGCTATAAAAAAAAAAAAAAAAAAAAAAAAAAAGGAACTTTTACCCTTTGCAACAGCATGGATAGACCTGGAGCGTAACGGTATTACGCTAAGTGAAATTAACCAGTCAGAGAAAGACAATTACCATATGATCTCACTCATATGTGGGATCTAATGAACACAATAAACTGACAAAATAAAACCAGAGGCATGGATACATGGAACAGACTACAGATCTCAGAGGGTAGGGAGTGTGGGGTGGGGAGGCAGGGACTGGAAGAGATTAGCCAAAGAACATATATGCATATATGCATAGCCCATGGTCACAAACAACACTGTGAAGGTGAGGGGGGATCTGGGTGGAGGGGAGCAAAGAGGGAGAAAATAGGGGACATCTGTAATGGTGTCAACAGTAAAAAAATTTTTAACAAAATAAAAATCTAAGAAAAAAAGTCCCATAAGTAAATCTATAATTATTTCAGAATAAAAGGTTTAAAAAATAATCTTACAATACAATACTTTTAAAGATCTGGAAATGTTTACTTTGTTTTCTCAGTAAGCCTCACATGACCTAAAGCAGGGCTCAGAAACAAATGTTCACAGGGGCCAGGCAAGAAAAATGCATGAGTAAAGAAATCCCAGTGTAGGAAAGATAGAAGCAAAGCCGGGAGAACACATCCTTTCTAAAAGAAGCATCCACAGCCAATTCCCACTACATGGACATATGGGCTAGTCTTAACAGCTCACCTGGCATTTTAAGAAAAGGCAGAAGCCTTCCAATTTTAAAAGTAGCCAATTGATTTAAATGTTTTTCAAAATGCTTTGTGAACTTAATATTTCAGTAGGTCCCAGGTGGCTTGTGGACCATCAGTTTCTTATCTTTGCCTTAAATTATGTCTAATATAGCATTCTTATTTTATACCTTGAAGGAAATTAAGTGGCTACTGATAAAGTCTCATATGCAGTAAGAGAACCGGATCTAGAATCTAGTTCTTCTTGTTCTAAAACTAGTATTTCCTTTGCTGTTATTCTATAATTTCTTTATCCAACAAAGGATATATATACCCAGGTTAGTCAGATATGCAAGTTAGTAATCAATGTGTGTATTGAATTAAGAAAGGATGGCATAAGCTTCACATTTAATTAATCCAGATACTTTGGATCTTCTGAAATGTTTTTAGGTAGAAGCTCCAGAAAATAAATTACTGATGACTAATCAATTGCTTATGCCTCACAAATTCAGCTTGAAATGTATAGGACACAATTGTAGGTGATCTTTAAACAAAATTATAACTAAGCAAATATCTATACCTATATAAATCACATCATGTAGACATTCTTGATTTCTGGAGAAAAGTTTAATTACTGCAGGGCTGATAGAAAACTGGACTTCAATTCCGCGGCTTAGCTGTAATACACGCTATACCTATCCATGCATTCAATACACACTGTGAATTTACAATTTCCTTTTAGGTAATGATAGATTGCAAGCTTACAGAAGGGTGAGGATATACATTTAAATTATTTCAATGGAAGTAAGTGCTACTGTAGTGCAGAAGAATGAAGTTTTTGGAGCTAATTATCTTTTGATTTTAAAAGCCTTCAGGAGGTATTATCACGCTGATTTTGCCAAAAACAGGTAAGTCTGCCACAGAGCCAGAGGGCACGTGTTCTGACTTCAGTCCACAGCTGAGACTATGTGAACTTCAAGGGAATCATTCTTCTGTATCTCTCCTCTAAAGAGTTAATGTACCCCTTTGTAAACCAACTTTTCCCTGTAGTCGTAACAAACGCTAGTTATGTCCTCATAGTCCTTAGTTAAAACCACCTCAACTCAATTACAGACGTGTCAGGTTTTATTTTCCTTGGCGGAGTTGCAAACTAATTTAACTTTAAAGACATGTCCTGTGCAAGGAGAGGCTAATTTCGCCGGTTAGTAGAAGCTGAATCAATTCGAGGCCAGGATCACCTCAATCTAGCCGAGTCTGCACAAAATAGAATCCAGATCCAAACCCACCAGCCTTGACAACGCAGTTTAATTGTCACAGCAAGACCAGGACGCGCCTCAGGGTGTCATCAGGCCCAGCTGGAACTTTCGCCTAAACTCAGGCGAAGGCGATAGGAAACTAGAGACAGGGCTCGCTTTTTCGGAGCGAAATATTATTTATAGCTAGGGCCTGAAGAAACCAAAGCCTGCAACAGCTGAGCTGCAGCGCGGTGCCACCACCATGCAAGCAGGTCTCACACCGCTCACCTTCACAGTCAGCCCCCGACCGCCCCCCGGCCTCCAGGCCCTGCGTCGTCAACGGGTTAGAGACCCAAAGCCCGGCGCAAACGGCCACCATTGCAGCTGGGCTCGCGCACCACATTCTGAACCAGCAGCTCCAAACTCCTCAGACACCTGCACCCAACGTGGGCTTCGACGTTTGCTGCTACAGTACTCTGGGGAGCAGAGCAACCCCGGAGTTGCTGGGGCAAATGACGCAACTCAACCCACAGTTACCATTGGGTTTCATCAAAGGAGCGAAGAACCAAGTAGGGTGAAGGAGCGCATTCCCTCCCCCACGGGCCCCCGACCGACGCGTGCGCACTATAGTACACGCAGTGCCTTCTCAGCGGGGCGGAGAGAGAGGCACTAAAGCTATTCGTCAACTGCCCCGCCAGAGGCGGGACCTTCACGCTGATTGGCGACGACGCCGGAGGCCGCGGCGTTTGGACCGGACGCAGTGGGCGGGCGGGAACGTGAAGTCTCCGCGGTGCCTGATGGGGCTGTTGGTAGCCCGAGACCTGTAGCTAGCCGGCGAACACTCTTTACAGCTGCTACCGTCTTTGCCGCCTCATGGCGGCCATCGGAGTTCACCTGGGTTGCACATCAGCCTGTGTGGCCGTCTATAAGGTGAGGGAATGAGGGGCTGGACTAGGGGCCTAATGTCAGCCACCTCGTACTCTGAGTGAGGGGCCAGGTCCTTTGGTTACCTATGGCGTTGTGAAAGGCATGTCACTGGCATAGGAACGTCTTGCGGAGAAGCGTTAGTGCGGGGCAGTTTCGAAGCCAAGGGCCAGGCGGACTCGACCTCGTCCCTTGCGACCCCGGAGAGCTAGCTGCGCCCTGGCGGAGGGTCGTGAAGACGCCCGCGCGCAGGGTTCGTGGACGTTCGGGCCGCAGGAGGCCCGGAGCTGTCTTGGGAACGTCGTGGGTTCTGTGAGGCCCGCAAGGGGGCGGTCCCAGGAACGTCAAGGCTACAGGAGACTCAGTGGTTTCGGGGATACCGTGGGTTCCTTGAGATCCGGGAGGGTCTCGGGGATGTCGTGGGTTCCTTGAAGCCCGGAGGGGAGAGGTCCCCGGGACGTCAGTGCTTCAGAAGATCCGGAGGGTCCTCGGGGATGTCGTGGGCGCGGGAGGCCCGGGTGTTGGTGCAATCCTGGGGACGTCAGGGCTGCAGAAAACCCGGAGGGTCTCTGGGATATAGTGGCCGCAGGAGGCCTGGAGGTTTCTGGACGTTTGCCAGGAAAGGGCGGGGTGGCCGCGATCTGGAACTGAAGGTGTTCATCCCGTGCAGCGTGTGAAGCGAGTTGATGGTGCGTGGTCTACTGACTTGGCCTTTCTGGGAATTAAGAGAGCTTGAGAGAGTTGTGGCCTCCCTCTCAGTGGGGAGATGGAAGGAACAATAATACTACACTCTCCTGACACTCGGGTTTAAACGTCAAACAATTTGTAAGGAAAAGCCAAAGGGATTAGTGCCACTTCATTTTATGTAGATAGGGGAAGAAAGATATTTGTAGAGAAAGGAAGAGAAGTAGAAAGAGTGGTGTAATAAGACTTATTATTGGATATAGAAAGATTGTTATTATGTTTGTTCCAATTATTGAGTATGCAGAGAAGACTGAAAAATAATGCGGCAGTTCTTCATGGAATGTTGGCCTTATACAAAATCTAGGAAATTAATAGTGCCAATTAAATCTACAAGTTTAAAATTTTGATAGAGCAATTTTTCTTTCCATATAAATGGCACAGTAACACTGGCCCACATATGTTTAATGAGACTATAGATTTCATTCAAAAGAACTAATATAGTTGTATGTTTTTTTCCAGGATGGCCGGGCTGATGTGGTTGCAAACGATGCAGGAGACAGAGTTACTCCAGCTGTTGTTGCTTACTCAGAAAATGAAGAGGTACTATTCTCTCTCATTTCTGTGCTTTGAAATAAGTAAAAATTATATGCATTGTAATATATTGCTCTTTTTCAGGTTGTTGGATTGGCAGCAAAACAAAGTAGAATAAGAAATATTTCAAATACAGTAATGAAAGTAAAGCAGATTCTTGGCAGAAGGTATGGAATAAAATACTACTTTTACATATGGTAATAACGTGTTTATACATTCTAAATATAATGTGGAATGAAGCTAGAAACATTCTTTATTTTTTGTTTTTTTATGACTGAGTCATTTCAGAGAGTACTCCAGTACATTGTTTCTTTTGATGATTAGTGTTGGGTCTTCTCAAGGATGGATTCATTCAGACATGCTGACAGATCTGTTTGTATTGACAAATGCCAACATTCCTTTAGTTTTGATTGACAGTTTGTGTCATTCTGAGGTGGTGATTAGGAATTTTTAAATCTTTGCATTTTTGAAGGAACTTGAAAGATTTTGTGGGAATTTGACGACTTCATTGCCTTGTAGTTGATTTTTGCAAAATCTACTACATTCGGTCATAATTTATAGGTAGACACTATGGATTTTCTTCTTCAGGTCCTTTTGTGACACTTTCTGGGAACTAGCTTTTCCAGTGGCTTACAAATTTAATCATTAGAGGAGCAGCTTAATTAATGTCTTAAGTCAGAATCAGGTTAATCATCTGTTATAACTTTAATTAAAAGATTAAAGAGGCTTGCTTCCCCAGACACATGTCTCCTCAAATTATAGATTCTCACAATAATTAGGGGGTTTTAGTTTCACTGGACTAGTGATACTTGATAGAGTGTTTTTAACTTTTCAGAGTGTTTTCACATCTGTTATTTTATTTAATCCTCTCAAATCCCTAGAAGATTGGTAAGGTAGGTTTTAATCCTTCCCCATTTATAGATGAGAAAATCAAGGTACCCTAAATTAGTTTGGGGGGGGTGAACTAGCCAGGACTGCTGTTCAGGACTTCTAGCACTTAGCCCAGGTTGTTTCTTCTCTATGTTGTTCAGTTGAGAGTGTAAATAGAAATTTCCTTATGTCGATTTTAGGATTTTTGGATTATAGATTAAATTTAATATTTTTTCATAAGATATTTTTGTTATTCCTTACATGTGTATGGTTAAACTGAACTTGACACTTATTATTCCCCCCTCCCCCCTTAGGATATCTATGTACTGAGCCAAAAACTATAGTATTTTAGAGAGAATTCACATTTTAGTCATGATGAAGACAGTTGGTATCAAAGATATTCAAATTAGAAATAAAAAAGCAGGGAGTTATAGGTGGATGTTGAAGCTAGATTCACTGTAAGCAGTCAACAATATGATTTTTTTAATTGAACATTTTTGAGTAATTGTATATACTGTTGTAAGAAATAATATAAAGAGATCATATGTATTGCTGGATTTACCACTTTTTCCCAATGATAACATCTTGCAAAATATAGTATAGTATCAAAACCAGGTACTGACATTCATACAATCAAGATAAAGAACATGTCCATCGATCTATCCCCTGGTAGCCCTCTTTGTTTTATGCTGCAATTTTGGGGCAGACAGTTGGAGTATTGATGTTGTTGTCTTCTGCTATATTATGCGAAAAGCTTTGTATTAACAGGAATAACTTTTCTGGCTCTGAAAGCTATCTTTTAATGAAGGAGTGCAATGGTGACAGTCAGATGGGTAATACATAGCCACAGCATGCTGCTTAGGCCAAGGTTAGTGAAGGATGAGCGCCCTTCAGACAAACTGCTGCTCCATGGTCCTGCTAGCACTTCTTCAGAGTAAGCGGCCTCATGCTCCAGGTGTTTCCCATCTCCATCTACTTACAAGACAATGGTGATTTTTACAGACACACAGTAATACCAGGTTTCAGCCTTGGAAGCATTCTGCCCTTCGTGGAGGACCCAGTCCCCTTGTTATCAAGCCAGTAAGGCCCTTTTTAGCTCCTGGTGCAGTGTCCATCCTGGATGAACTCCCAGAGTTGGGCTTTCTCGATCTTGGCATCCTGCTTGTTTGCGACCTATTTACAGGTAGCACTGCTTAACTTGCTGCCACAATTATCCTTACACCCTTCCTGTAACTCTCGTTCCCCTGTGGCCTTCCAGCCAGAAATTTGGTCCTTGGACCTGGCTTCTCAGCAATTAGCCCTAAGAGGGAAGAATCTGCTGTCTTCTGGAAATAGACTGAAAGCACCCAGAGCTTCCCCACACCTTCAGATTTGGCACCTTGCTGCCCAGGAGCTTTCTTCAGCTAGCCTTCCCAGTATGGCCAGTTCCAACAGCAGTGCAGGCATCCGGTGGTCCAGACAGGAGACACGAACTCTTCTTTCCATACTTGGTGAGGCAGAATATATTCAACGCCTCCAGACTGTGCATCATAATGCAGATGTCTATCAGGCTGTGTCTAAGAGGATGCAGCAGGAAGGCTTCCGCCGCACGGAACGTCAGTGCCGCTCCAAGTTTAAAGTTCTGAAGGCATTATATTTAAAGGCATATGTTGCCCATGCCACAAGCATGGGTGACCCACCACACTGTCCATTTTATGATACATTGGATCAGCTTCTCCGAAATCAGGTAGTGACTAACCCAGACAACTTAATGGAGGACGCTTCTTGGGCCAAGCATTATGATCAGAACTTAGTGGCCTCTGACACCGCAGGGGAAGAGGGAACCAGCATTCTGAGAGCAAAAAGCACTAAGGCAGCAGATCATCAGCCGATCTCAAAAACAGTTAAGGAATCAGATGAGGATTGTCAACTGAGAATCAGTGACCAGATGCAAGAAACCAGTGACCTTGAGGACTCCTGGGAAGAATCCTCAGGCGCAGGTAATTCCCAAACATGAAGAATTGGGGTCCCAGAATCACTTGGTTCTAAACAGCAGTATATATTCGAATGCTGTTCTTTTCAGCATCGTCCCTATTTCTTACCCCTTCCCCTCTCTTTTAAACCTAATGGTAAGATAAGGGACTCCAGGTATTTAAAAGATGTGACCCTAGGTATGTAAAGTATTAGAATTCTTTAAATGTAGAAGTACTCCTTAGAACCAAACTATTTTGGAATTATTTATAATGCATACTTAGATCACTTCTCAGTCTTTTGGCTAAGATCAAGTGTAGTATAATGTGTACTTAGGCATTTGTGGATATAGAGTGGGTTGGATAACTAAGTGGAAAGGGGCTCAGGAAAGTAAGGGGGAGGTTTTGGAGGTAAGACTACAACAAACTAAAATGTCTAGACCAAGGAAATGAATTCTTCCCAGTCCCTTGTGGAAAGAGGCCTTTCCAGGAATGTCCAGTTTTGTAATTGTCTCTCAACTCTGCTGCTGGCTCCATGCATTCCATTAGCAGGAATGTCCTCTCTGCAACATTGTTGCTTTGTTTTTCAGGGTGCTCTCAAGGGACCCCCAGCTACAGCAGTTCCCACCACCTTTTCAGAGGTACAGTTGCTCCCTGTCAGAGCAGCCCCATGACCAGACTGGGTGTGTCCGGTGAGCCCAGTCCCTGCACCAGCACCAGCCGAAACACTCCTGGGGTGGCCTCCACACAGCAGCCTCCAATCTCCTCCTCCGGAGTTCCTTTTGTTTCTGGTGGGGATAGGCCTTTGACCAGTGAGCCCCCTCCAAGGTGGGCAAGGCGAAGAAGGCGGTCAGTGGCCAGGACTATTGCAGCTGAATTGGCAGAAAACAGACGATTGGCACGAGAACTTTCAAAGCGTGAGGAAGAAAAATTGGACAGGCTGATTGCTATTGGTGAGGAGGCCAGTGCTCAGCAAGACACGGCCAACGAGCTCCGCAGGGATGCCGTGATCGCAGTCAGACGCTTGGCGACAGCAGTGGAAGAGGCAACTGGAGCTTTTCAGCTAGGGCTTGAAAAATTACTTCAGAGGTTAATTTCAAATACCAAAAGTTAGGAACTGATTATAAAAGGGTGTATATCCTAAACACTTGCCTTTTGGTACCCTGGCTCCTTTTCCATGTCCTCAGAAAAAAAGAGTGGATGAGCCATAAATATGCAGAAGAATAGAATATACTTGCTAGTTGCTTTTCCCAAATTTCTCCACTAATTAAAGACTTTGGCTATGTGAGAGGTGGCCTGATGGAAAACAGATGGAGCCAAGTCCAAAAAGCTAATTAACCCTGGCTTTGTCACTGATGTGAGGCAATTTAGTTTTCTCTCTCTACACCAGTTTCCTCATCAGTAAAATGGAGCTAGAAATAGTTCCTGACATGCCTACCTCACAGGGTTGTTGTGAGGATCAAATGGCTAATAGATGTGAAAGGGTTTAAAAATTTAAAAGCACTATACACATATAAGTTATTAATGTATATGACCTTGGCCAGGCTAAGGCAAGGGTGATGAGGCACATTAGTTGACAAGATATAGAATTATTGTATACCATGACCTCATTGCTTGAATATTTGTTTATTTGTTTAACTTGTCTGTTTTCTGAAGTTTAAAGTCTTCATTTTTTTTAAACCTTCTATAGCTCAAGACTACTATAGATGCAACATGTATTTGTATCTTTCTGTTATTTCCACTGCTGTGTCTGTGACATACCTACTAGTAAGCACTCAATAGTCACGCCATCTTCCCTCCATTTTAATAGTTCCTAGTCTCTATAAGGATACAATTGAGAACTGACAGGGAGCCACAATCGTGTGTTATGGTTCATATTGATAATCTGATATCATGGGCTATTTTATAAAATACTAAATATAAGTAAATTCTTTGCATTCTATATTATTTGGTTTCCTTACATGCATAATTATATATCTTTAAGTTTGGGTTGTTATTTGAATATCATGGAAAGAATTTGGATTTTATCAATTTCCCAAGTTCTTATGGCTAATTTCATTCTTTTCTATTAGTCTTCTTTCTGTCTCATGTGAGAAGGGAATCCCTAGAAAACTTCCCTTCTAGGGAACTTTCCAAAGTCTCTTTTTCTCACATGGTGTAGATGAAAAATCTCCTAGTTAGTGGCATACAGTGGAAGAGAACAACTTTGGGAACAGTTGAGGGTAGTGTAAAAGACCACCTGCGCTAGGTAACTCCTTTGAGGCACGAGCTCTCAACAAATCTGTTTTTGCCAAAAACATACCTTTGGGATGTAGAAATGTGTTGAGCCATATTTCCAATTTAAAAAGTTTTTCTTCATTCTAGAGGCTGAAAATAAATGTCTGAGCATGCTGGGAGAGGCTTTATATTTTGCAGGCTTGGGTACTTAATGCTGGAAATACAAATAAGTGTAGAAATAGTCCAAAAAACAGTGGGAACATATGTAAACCATGAATAGATGGCAAGAAAGTGAGCTGCTCTGATAAGTGGGTGGTGGATGTAGGAGGCAGCTGGTATGGTAGCATACACTGGAATCTAGTTAGAACTCCTGGGTTCTAATCCTGTCACAGTTATATTGGCAGTTCATTTGAATAGGCCATTATATGGAGGGTTAGACGTCAGTTATACCTGGGTAACACTAACATAGGTAGGTAAAGTTTTTGGAAAAACAGGGAAGTACTTGGTGAACAATTAGGCCTGTAATATATAGATCTATTAATGGTAGCAAAATATATAGGCAAGGATTTATTTCAGATAATAGAAGTGCTAAAGTACAGAAGTGGAATTAAACTTTGGAGGTAGTGTTGTGAAAAGTAATGGGTGAAGTAACCTTAAGGTGGGAATAAAACTAAAGGGAAAGGCCTTAAAGTAAACAGAGAAGTGGGCAAAATATTGTTAAGAGGCGGGAAGTTGTAATAAGGGGACATTGTGTGGAAAAAACAAGCCCAGAAATCTTGCGTAAGCTCTAGACCCAACCATTACTATCTGTCCATCCTTAGGTGGGTCATTTCACCATTCTGTAACTCAGGATCCTTACCTATAAAGTGGGAAATTAATACTATCCTACCTACCTCACTGGAATGTTGTGAGCATCAAATGAACAGATGAATGTAAAAATGCTCTCACGCACATGGAAGACACCATACTGTGACAGTAGTGGGAAAGAAAACCCAGTAACACATTAGTGCTGATGTGTGCCAGGTCCAAGGGTCTGCTGACTGGGCAAAGACAAGGAAGGAAGAGGAAGTGGCATCGCTGGTAAAAGTTGTGATACAATGGTAGGATTAACACTCTGCCTCCTAAGGATTGTGATGTAAATGAGGTGCTGTGTATACCAACCTCCCACCACCCTTTGCTTTTCTGTTACATAATCCTGGTGTGGACAAATAAAGTTTTTACTTGTATGTAGCTGTGGGTCAGTTCGCTACTTTCTGGCGCTATCTGTGATCATTTGTCGTCACCTGCATTCTCTGCTTTCTGTTTTTCTGCTAGCTAATCTCCAAGGTCTTGCCTGTACATGGCCCTGAGAGCTATATGTGCTTTCTGTCCTCACATAAGCGAGGCCCTGTTTGCATAGCAGTTGCGAAATAATTTGCCATTTCTAAGAGTTCTATATATCCCATAAACTGTCCTTTCCCAGCAAATATCTTGCCTGAGTGGTAGATAGCCTACACATCATAGGATAAGTTGTCCTGATTGACTTAAATTCTGACTTAAGAACAAACTGGTAAATGTGCACAGATTATAATATTGGTGCAAAAAAGTTCTGTGGGCACACTTTTATCTTTTTTTCTTACTCTTAAAAATTACCTGTTCCTTCTCTACCAATTTTTAGGTGATAGAGGAGGAATTATGAAGAATATACAAGTATTCAGACAGAGTTCTAAGCTCAGTCAATTTTAAGCCCCTTGTGTCTTTTAATTTATACAGATTAGGGTGTTCTGTGACCCTTCAGCAATTAGCTACTATTAATTTTCACCACTTATTAAACATTTAACACTGGCCTCTGAACGGAATACCCACAGTCCCCTGGAAGAATGTTTTAAGGGAAGGATTTACTTCAGCTCAATTTCTACATGTAATTAAGCCAAGGATCAAACACTCCTATTTCTACTCAAGGGGTAGACATACTGTAATCATGTGCCATCTTACTGCCACGCAGTTGGGTAAAGTGTGGACAACTGTACCCTAATAGAGATTTGAAATCAGATACTGACTCTGCCCCTTGTTAGCTTATAAGTCATTAACCCTCTGTGAACCTGTTACCTCTAAATTAATACCTGCCAAATTAACCCCACTTAGTTATTGTGGAGATCAGGTGAGATAATATATATGAAAACATTTTAGTCTGCATAAACTGGTATTACCATTATGAGCAACGTAATACCCATTAGTTTTTTCATTGCCATGCACATTTATTTGATACCCACTTTAGGACATTATAGATCTAGCCACCTGTAGTACTCTATCTTTTCATTTATAACATTCATACTTTTGCTTACTCTTGATTTTGAATGTTGGTTCATGGTCAGACCAGCCAACAAAGATGTGTTAGGCAAGCTGGTTTGGCATTAATATCTCAGTGGTTGGGTTTTCAGGATCATAGGTGTGAAAGTATATAACAAAATAATTGATATGCAAAATCACCCCCAAATGTATAGCATCTTAATAGCAGCAAGAGCAGAACAAGTAAGAGCTATTTACTTTCAAATGCAAAGAGTAACACTTAAATAGAATTATTATAACCATTGTAAATATCCATTTAATCCAGTCATCTGTAATACTTGAAGTTTTTTTAATATTAAGCAATTTTATTTTTTATATTTGTTCAGTGGTATTGAAAAATACAGTGTTCTTTTAAACCTTATATATGAAAAATACTGATTTTAATACCTAACTATCTTTATCTTTATGGACAGCTCCGATGACCCCCAGGCTCAGAAATACATCACAGAAAGTAAATGTTTAGTGAGTATGGTTCTATTATTACTGCCTTATTACACAAAGTAATTGCTAAGATGCTCACCTATAATATGGGTTTGTAACTTTGTATTTTTATTAAAACAATTCCTTATTTAACACATTTATAATTTTCTTTTAGGTCATTGAAAAAAATGGAAAATTACGATATAAAATAGATACTGGCGAGGAAACAAAATTTGTTAATCCAGAAGATGTTGCCAGACTGATATTTAGTAAAATGAAAGGTATTGAGCCAAAGAGAAAAATTTTTTTTTTAAATTGACCTTAGAAAGTTAGATATGTTTTTTGATCTGGGGAGATGATTGAACAGATTAGCAGTAAGGACACCTAAAGTCTGTATCTGACTGGGCCACTAATTGGCGATGTGACCATGGTTAAATGACTTAACTTCCCTGACTTTGGTTTCCCTAGAAGTAATGTAAGTGGTTTGGGCTAGATTAGCATTTTCAAAACTTCTTAAGATGAAGTGGCTAAATAAATGAAATGAAGAGTGAATATTATATCTCCCTCTTTAAGATCGACAGTACACTCTTAACAATATTTAGGCAGGTTAAGTAAGTCTGGTTTCATCACCACTTCAGACAAGGGCTGGAGCTAAGTGGCATTCTTTGGAACAATTTATGAAATTTTGAAGTAAATTATTGATAAGGGTCACATCAGCCCTGGGATTATGTCATGAACTTGGAATCAAGGCAGCCCTTCAATGTGTTGAACTAATACTGTGCTGTTTGTCTTTTCATTGACACATTAGAAGCTCATTCTCAGTGAAACCAGTCTAATATGGGAGACGGTTAAACTTTGAAGCTTAAAAGCTAGGCACTCAGAACTAGGACATAGTACGTAGTTCTATGTCCACAAAGTATACCAAAACCACAAAAGGTAGTGCACGATTTAAGAAAGCAAGAGAAGAAAATCAACAGGGTGGGACAAACAAATGGACTGGAAAACCTTTGTAGTTAGAAAATCATTGCTACAGATTGATAAAGTATCACTTGACATATTTTTGTGTCATCAGAATTTATTTTTATATTCTTTTAATATACAGAAACAGCACATTCTGTCTTGGGCTCAGATGCAAATGATGTAGTTATTACTGTTCCATTTGATTTTGGAGAAAAGCAAAAAAATGCACTTGGGTAAGTATTTTATGGGGTTTATCTTATTTGCTTAGTTAAAGGAAATACAAGTTTCACAATACCACCATATAGTAAAAAATAAATTGCATTTGAAAACACCTTAGGCAGTAAAATTGTATTTGTAAATATGTGTGTATAGGTAAGTAGTATGGTAAAAGTATGTTAAAATCAATAATATATTCTGTCTTTTATGAAATGGCAGAAGAACATAAAATTAGGTGTACCTCGTTAGCTGTTTTGATTGGAAATGTTTTTAATTACCAGGTTAAGTTGACATTTATCAATCACTGTGCCTTAGTTTTATGTAATTAGGGTTTATGCTGAAATTATATAAAAATATGCAATTTTAGAATATATTTATAAGTATCTCTTCACCTTAGATCTAAAGTTTGTAAGCGTGGGCATTTTTGAGAGCTTTCATTTCCTTGTTCAATATAAGCACGTGCTATTTTCTTTGTCAAGAAAATAGACTCTGAACATTATTATTTTAAGTGGAAAATGATCTACTTTTACAGTTACATCTATTTCTTGTGTTCTATTATCTTGCTTGTAAAGATCATTACTGTTCATGTTCTAATTACAAAACCTTATTTGTTATTGCATAAAATCTTTAGCAGAGCTTTTCTAAAATGTAAACTTGAACATGTGATATTAAATTCATTGAAAACAAATCGTCCACAGGGAAGCAGCCAGAGCTGCAGGCTTTAATGTTTTGCGGTTAATCCATGAACCATCTGCAGCTCTCCTGGCTTATGGAATTGGACAAGACTCCCCCACTGGAAAAAGGTAAAAACCGTATTTGCAGCTTTAAGATTTTCAGTGCAGAAAACATTATAGATTATAACAATTGTGTAAGTAGAGATTATTATAAAATGCAGTGGTTACAAGCCTTCGTGAATGAAAAAACATCAAAACTCTCCACTAGAGTTTTTCCTATAGATGAGCATGATGTCCTAGGAAAGCAGAGAAAGGGCACAGCAGAAGGAAAGGTTGAGCTTTCCTATCCTCCTATTGTCACCACATTTTGTCCCTTTAATGGAGATAGATTTGAGATTTGTAATCCCAGTCACATTCCAACTCCAGCTAGGACACTTAATTTTACTACCAATTTCAATTATTAAACATGTTTATAACCAATGAGTAGTTTTATATACATTCATCTTGACAGGAGATGGCATGAAATCCAGCATGGGGATTTAAGAATTCTTTTGATTATGAAATAATAAAACGTACTCGTAATTTGGTTGTCAGACTTGTCTTTTTTGTTTAAGATTTTATTTATTTTTAGAGAGAGAGGAAGGGAGGGAAAAAGAGAGGGAGAGAAACAGATGTGAGAGAGAGACACACACACCCCCCCCCCCAACTTGGGATTGAACCACAACCCAGGCATGGGCCCTGACTGGGAATGGAACCGACAACTTTTCATTTTGAGGAATGACACCCAACCAACTGAGCCACCACACAGGTCAGGGCAAACTTGTCTTAGTAGATCTGACATACCATGCCACTTTAGAGAAATTAACTCAGATGTGTTAATTTCCCCTAATTGTTTCACCTTATTCATATTTCACAGATTGAGTAAAGAAATTAATATGTATAAATCACAAGAAAATTATTTTTAGGTTAGATGTAAAATACCAGAAATTATGAATTTCGATATGTAGGAAATTAGCTCCTAATTTTGCTTATGTTTCATTTTTGTAGAGCATGTTATTGCAGTAGTAACTTGGATAATATTAACACAAAATTTCTGTATGTCATTCTCTTGCAATTCACTATAATCACAAGTCTTTTATTTGAAAAGTTGGTGTTTTGGCCCTGCCTGGTGTGGCACAGTGGATTGAGTGCCAGCCTGCAAACCAAAGGGTTGCTGGTTCAATTCCCAGTCAGGGCACATGCCTGGGTTGTGCAGGTCCCCAGTAGGGGGCACTGGAGAGGCAACTGCACATTGATGTTTTTCTCCCTCCTTTACCCTCTGTAAAAATAAATAAAACCTTTATTGAGAAAAAGAAAAGTTGGTGTTTTGAACTCCCATTACTCAGAAGAATGCAATTTTACCAGCATACCTAAACAAAGAATAACTTTAACTTAAAATCAAGAGATCTGGTTTCTAGGCTTGATTCATCACTAAGTGAATACCATAAACATCTTACTCATGTGAGATTTTCCGTTTCCTCATTTGTGATTTAAAGGGATTGAATTAAGAGACTCCTTAGTGTAAAAAGTCCAACCT